AAATACAAAAAAAGAAAAAGAAAAAGAAAAAAGGAGCAAACTAAACCCGAAGTTAGCCAAACACAGAAAATGATAAAGATCAGAGTAGTAACCAATGAAATAGAAAACAATAGATAAAACAAAAAGCTGATTCTTTGAAAAGATAAATAAATCTCATAACCACTTAGCCAGAATGATCAATAAAAAAGAGATATGACACAAATTACTAATATCAAGAATGAGAGTGGCATAAATATAAACGCAACAGAGAGCAAAAGAATAATAGCAAAATACTATGAAAGCTTTTGTCAACAAATTTGATAACTTGTATGGAATAAACAAATTCCTTAAAATACACAAGCTGCCAAAGACCACTTAAGAAGAAATAGATAACCTAAGCAGCTCTAAATCTATTAAATAATTAAATTGGTAGGTAAACCTTCTTGCAAGAAAAAGTCCAGGCCCAGATGGTTTCACTGGTGAATTCTACCAAATAATTAAGAAAGAAATACTACTAATTTTAACCAAACTGAATCACTAAAAATATAAATAAATTTCAGAAAACTGAAAAGGAGAAATATTTCACAATTCATTTTGTGAGACCAGAATGATCCTGATAGCAAAACAGACAAAAGCATAATAAAAAAAGAAAACTACAGATCAAAATACCTTGTGAAAAAAGATACAAAAATCCTAAGCAAAATTTTATTTTTTTCCTCTTTATTTTAAAGATGTGTGTTACAAGTCAGGATTAGATACATATGTGGTCTATGTACTGGTGAAGTTTAGGCCTCCCTCTGGTTCTCACTTCCCCTGGGTTAGTATCAGGTACCCATAGTGATGTTATGTACACCCCCTTTCCCCTGGTAGTGTCCCACTACCACTACTGCCAATCTCTGTCTTGTAGTATTGTGATTAATGTTCAGGACCCACTTATGAGTGAGAATATGTGGTATTCAGTTCTCTGTTTCTGTGTTGGATTACTAAGTATAGCTTTCTGAATACTTTCACAGTAAAGACAGCAGTGTGGTGTCCAGGGCTTTGCTACCCATTTGTCATGTGGCTTGGAGCATGCCATTCCCCCTTTTTGGGACTCAGTTTTATCATCTGTAAAATGGGCAGGGTGAACTGGCTGGCTTTGAGGTTCTTTCATCATGAATATTGTCTGTACACTAGCTCAGTGCCTCTCAAAGCTTAACGTGCACATGAGTCACCTGGGCTTTTTTTTTAACTTTTAAATTTTTTTATTTTAAAATTGAGGGGTACAATTTAGGGTTAAGTATACAAATATTCATTGTGCAGGTACCCTTGTTGATGAGGTGTGTCCCTGCTTCCCCAGGCAAATTTCCAATACTATCAATCCCACCTCCCGCCCCCCACCCCCTGCAATTTCCCGCTACTGTCCATCCTTTTCTTATAGTATTATGGTAGTTGTTCAAGGTCCACATATGAGTGAGAACATGTGATACTCAGTTATTTGTTTCTGTGAAAGATCACTTGGTAATATAGACTCTAATTCCATCCATGTGGCTGCGAAGTTCATGATTTTGTTCTTCTTTATGACTGTGTAGTATTTCATTGTGTATATGTACCACATTTTAAAAATCCAGTCCTCTTTTGATGGGCAGAACGGTTGGTTCCATGTTCTTGCTATTGTAAATGATTCTGTGATAAACATATTGTGTAGGCATACTTTTTTATAGTGATTTGAGTTCTTCCGGGTATATTCCCAGTAGGGGGATTGCAGGGTCTTACGGAAGGTCGGTTTTTAGAACTTCTAGGAATCGCCACACTGTTTTTCACAGAGGCTGTACTAGTTTACACTCCCACCAACAGTGTAGAAGTATTCCCTTTTCACCACATCCTCTCCAACATCTGTTGTTTTTTGAGTTATTGATGATGATCTATCTGACTGGAGTTAGGTGGTATCTCAGTGTAGTTTTAATTTGCATCCCCTTGATGACTAGTGTGGCTGAACATTTTTTCATGTATCTGTTGGCTGCTCATATGTCTTCTTTTGAGAACTGTCTATTCATATCTAAGCAAAATTTAACTTGAAAAGTCCAAGAATATGCAAAAAAGATAGCTTATCATTACCATATGGGATTTATCCCAGGAATTCAGGTTGTTCAATAATCTGAAAATCCATCAATGTAATTTACCATATAAACAAACTAAGGGAGATAAACTATACGTTCATTTCAACAGACATAGAATATTCAACATTCATTCCTAATTAAAACAAAACAAAACAAAGACTTCTCACAAACTAGAAATAGAAAATGACTTCAACAGCCTAACGAAAGCACTTACAAAAAAATACAGCTAACATCTTACTTAATGGTGAAAGACTAAATACTTTCAGCCTAAGATCAGAAAAAAGGCAAAGATGTCTTCTCCTACCACTTGTATTAATATAGTACTGGAAATTCTAGACAGAACAATTAGGCAAGAAAAAAAAAGTCATCCAAATTGAAAAGAAAGAAGAATAATTGTCTTTATTTTCAGATGACATAATCATACATAGAGAAAACTTTAGGAAGAATTGAGCTTCCTAACTCTAGAGGATTGTAAGCAGAGTGTATTTTAAAGAGTGTACCGAAATGTTAAAGAGGAAGCAATTTACTAGGTGATCTCTTAAGATCCCCCCAAACCTGAAATGATCTACTGATATTTTAAAAGGCACTTCAAACAAATGAATGGACTATGCCAAATAAATGGTAGAAGGAATCCGTGTGGTATATTGAGAGGAAAGGGAGGAGACTTTGTCCTGAATGTGTCAAGAAGCCTTTGTAGAAAAAGCCACACTTGAGTGTAGATATAGATCCTGAGTGTATATAAGAACAAGCACTGTGCTGGAAATAAGATGGACCTGATTTTAAAGCCTGGCTCTGCCATGCATCCTTGTGAGACTTCAGGAAAGTCACATATCTTTCTGAGATTTACTTACTTTACCTGAAAGCAAAGTTGGTAATCATTATTACCTTATACAGGTTTTCTTTTAATTCTGAGAAAAATAGTGTGTTATAAACATGTGAAGCATTGTTAAAGAGTAAGTTGGCCGTTGGAGGACTTTCATTTTACTCAGTGATCTGTAATCCACAAACTTCTGTTATTAAAAAATAGCAAAAGCCGGGCTCGGTGGCTCAGCCTGTAATCCCGTACCTTTGGGAGGCTGAGGTGAGTAGATTGCCTGAGCCCGCGGGTTCAAGACCCGCCTGGGCAACTTGGTGAGACCTCATCTCTACCATAAATCAAAATTTAGCCAGGTGTGGTAGTGAGCACCTGTAGTTCC